AACTCTACTTTCTGCTTCCCTCTCTGTGAGAAAGCCTTGACAAGGGGAGGGCTAGAGTCAGACAGGGTGATGCAGGAAGCCGAGCGCAGCTGTCTCTCTTGATGCTCTCAATTGTCTGTCCCGCCCTTGTGACACGGAAACAGCCAGTGGTGATCAATGTCTCCATGGTCTGCACCAGGTGACCATGAGCACATCACTTGGCTTCTGGAGCAGCTCAGAGAGATGGAGTCTGGCAAGGGCTCCAGGCTGAGGTCTGGAGGAGGCAATGCTGGCTGCACCCAGTCCCACTCAGCTCATTTTTTATCACTGTGGTTCAGCCAAGTAATATGGATTCAGACCGGGCTGCTCTCCTGGGACTTTAGACAGCTGCTCACTGAAGATGGATACTCCCCCAAAAGGAAGCTGGACCCCTTCCAGTCCCACTTTAACCTTCCCTGAGACTCCCCCACCTCCCACTGAGGCCTAAGGGTTACTACGCAGCTGGATCAGGGTGGATCCAGGGGCACGAGGTGCTAGCAAGCAGGGAGGGCGTTTCTAAGGCAATGTCCCAGTTGTTTCTAGTGACCCATTGGCCTGACCCTCCCTGCCTTACACAGCCCCAGATTGAGCCAAGCTTTTGGAGGGCGGCTTCACCTTGGGGTAGCTGGCCTGAGCCTACTGTGCTGGGTGGGAGGTTTGGATCCCACGCTGGATGGGCCCTGGGGGAGGGCAGGGGAAGGATGGGCCAAGGAGGGCCTCATCATGTCTCCTCTTCTCAGACTTCAGCAGTCAGATGAGGGTGGTGGGGGCCCCTGCTCGAGGAACTGACTTGAACATCTCTAAAGCCGTCTTGACTGTAAGATGGACACTTTCTGGACTGTTCAGCCTGACCTGCTGACATGAAATTTCTTCATCAGGCAGGGCAGTGCTTATATGTAATCCTAGCATTGGGAGGCTGAGGCAGCGGTTGGGGGTTAGCAGTTGCCTGGCTACACAGTGAGACTGTTTGTTTTGTTTAATTTTAAAAGCATTATGGGCTGCAGAGATGGCTCTGTCAATAAAGTGCCTGCCTTTATTTGGACCCCCCAGCACCGTCATAAAAAGCTAGGAACTATAGAGCACATTTGTAATCCCAACACCATAGTAGTAAGGGGAATCGGGATGTAAGTGGAGACAGGAGGATCCTTGGAATTCACTGGCCAGATGGAAACTGAGGAAGTCAGTGTCTATGTCTGGCCTCCTCACGTGTATGCGTGCACATGCACACATGTGCACCTACCTGCACACACACAAAGTTGTGTAAACACACACTAAGAAAACATCTCATACACTGCAGATGGAGGGCGGGACTTCTGGTGAAGAGCACGGAGCTGTCCATTTGTCAATGGTGGCAGCCTGACAGGGTTTTCCTGTATCCAGATCCTTTTCTTCCTGGCCAGCCTCACATCCTGCTAGGATGCCTTTGGCGAGCTTATGTTGCTCATTATCTCTCCCCATCCTCTTTCTACTCACCCCACCCAGGGGGGTTATTTTTAACCTGCACTGTAATGCTAGGACACACTGCCCCCCCCCAGCAAACAGGGCTGCCTGGAAAGACAGCCCCCTTCCCAGAGTCCTTCTCCCCTCCTCCTGCATCCTCTCCTTTCTTACTTGTTTAGCACGTACTTCCTGAGGGAACCTGCACGGGCTACAAGGACAGAGAAGCAGTGGTCCCTGCTCTCCAGGCACTTTCGTTCTAATGTAGCAAAGTCAAGGGCAGAGCAAAGGAAAGAACATGCACACACACCACACACACACACACACATGATCACACTCATACACACACATGTACATGCTCTCACACACACTCATGCTCACACACACATGCACACAATGTTCACACACACATGCTCACACACATACATGCTCTCTCACACACACATACAAGCTCTCTCTCACTCACAACACGATCACACACACATGCTCACACTCATACACACATGTACATGCTCTCACACACACTCATGCTCACACACACAATGCTCATACTCACACACGTACATGTTCACACACACATGCTCACGCACACATGCTCACACACACACATACACACTCTCTCTCTCTCTCTCACAGACACACACACTCACAGAAAGTACACCAAAGAAGAAACTAGTAACATTAGTAGACTGACAGTCTGTGTTGTAAAGAGAGCAGGGAAGCCTTGGCCCGGGGCGACTGATAAACAGGAGAGACAAATGCTCTAGGAGGTGATGGAAGCAAACATAGCCAAGGACATGAGTAGGCAGAGAGTCTTCTCTTCCTGACGTGCAAGGAGCTTGGTGTGTTCTAGAGTGTAGCAGAAAGCCCAGGGACGGAGGAAGAGGTGGTCTTGTTATGGCTGGGAGGCATGATGAGCAGATGCTATAGGGCCTTGGAGCCATGCAGACTTTATGCTGACTGCCGTGGAGAGCCATCGGGCAGTGGGAGGCAAGAGGTAATGATGGTAGCTTAGGCTGCCATTTGTCCCCAGTCAGGAGAAAAGACTCAACAAGGTGGCAGGAAAACTGGAGAGGTACGAGATGAAGAAGTCAGAAGGGCCATCCTAGTAGGAACAGGCTGGCAGCTCCAATTTGCCAATCACTGAACATTTTCCCTCCAAAGGCTGGCAGAATGTATCCACAATCATAAGACAGAACAAAGGAACATCCATCCCCCACATCACAGGTGCTTAGTAGAATCTACATATTCTAGGGAGCCTATTGTCCACAGCTGCCATCTTCACTAGCTTTCTAAGTACAGGAAGCTTTTTGTCCATCTAAGTCTTCCAGAAGGTGTGTAAATACCATTCTCTTTACACCATGGTACCATCTCTGTCCTTTACATCTTTGGAAGGGATGCAAAGCCAAATGCACTAGTGTGTGTGTGTGTGTGTGTGTGCATGTGTGAACATATGTGTGCATGCATATGATTATGTGTGAGAACATGTGTGTGTGCATGCTCATGTGTGTGAGTGTGTGCATGTGTGTGATTGTGTGTGTGCATGCATATGAGTGTGTGAGAGAACGTGTGTGTGCGCTCGTGTGTGAGTGTGTGTGCGTGTGTGTGTGTGTGTGTGTGTGTGTTAGCGCAGCTTGAACCTAGAGGCTTGTGCATGTTAGGCAGTTGCTTTACCATTGAAGTACATTCTTAATCCTCTTTTCACTTTTTATTTTGAGATGAGGGTCTAAGTATGTGTCCTGATAGGTCTTGAACTTGTGATCCTCTTGCCTCAGCCTCCCGATGGCTGAGATTAAAGGATTACACCACCAGGCTCAGCTCAAATCTGTCATTCTTAAAGAAGGTATTTGTGAGAGTGTGCTTTTAACACATGTGTGCGTGTGTGCGTGTGTATGTTTCTGTGCTGCAGAGGGCCTTGTATATGCTAGTAAGTGTTCTACCACAGAGATGCATTCCAGCTCCACTGCAATGTTTGAGCATCTGCACAGAAAAATCTTGGGGAGGGCCAGCAAGATGGCTCTGTGATAAAAAGCAGCTGCTGCCAAACATGACGACCTGAGTTTGATCCTCCAGACCCACATGGTGGAAGGAGAGAACCAATCCTGAACGCTGTCTGACTCCCACACATGGCACGCCCCCTTCCGCAAACACATGCACACAATAAAAAAGTGTGATTTCTTTACAAGCCCAATAGACATGGTGTGGAGTGGTTTAACAGCAGTGCAGTATGAATGAACTGTTGTCTTTTTCACTTTAAGTTTCTTATTGTTTTGAACATAGTGTCTGCTTCACAGTGAATACTTAATTTTCTTGTTTAATTATACTCTTGAATCAATGAGAATATGCCACTCAAAATTATTTTTGGAGAGTTGGAATAGTAGACTTTATTATTGGAAATGTAAAATTAAGCTTAAGAAACTTTAAGAAAAACAAAAATATGTTCATTATTGTTAAAATACTAGTAATGTTGACTTATTCCTTTGTATTTATGTCCCTCTGTCTCTTTACCTATCCACCTATCTATTTCACACATGAGTAACAAATATGGTATCACACTATATTTATAGACTTTTCATTTAGGTTTTTGTTTGTTTGATTGATTGATTTTTTTTGAGACAGGGTTTCTCTGTGTAGCTTTGTAGACCAGGCTGGCCTCAAACTCACAGAGATCCGCCTGCCTCTGACTCCTGAGTGCTGGGATTAAAGGCGTGCACCACCAACAGCCGACTTCACTTAGTTTTTCACTCAATAAACCACAGATAATCCTATTTAATATAATAGCCTCTTGAAAGAGCATTTCTAGTTGTGGCGGCAGAGAGAGAAGAGAGAGAGAGAGAGAGAGAGAGAGAGAGAGAGAGAGAGAGAGAGAGAGAGAGAGAGAGAGAGAGAGAGAGAGAGAGATTTGGAGAATTTCCTCCTGTAGGATAGTCTTCTTGTGATGACAATGGTCCACAGTTATGCATTGAATATGATTCCTAAAAGACAATTATGCAGAGTTGCTATTGTGTTTGAGTTCTATACCAAATTCTATAGCTTGGGTGCCTCATAAATGAAAGCCTTGTTTCTATTGGTTCTGAATGTTGGGAAGTTCAAATCAAGAGTCATCAGTCCTAGTGTCTGAGGCAGGGTGACTTCTTTTCCCACACAGTAGGAGGGTGATGGATCTTCCTGAGCTCCGCCATTGTGGGCTCTCACTTTCTAATATTATCTTAGGGAGGGGGGTTTATCATGTGACTCTGGGGACACACAAACATTCAGACAGTAGCATTCATGTTACCATTAAAAAGAAACCCATTTAAGGCAAAGGGGGAGCACATTCCTAGGGCCTTCTGTGGTGGGTCAGCTGGTGTGTTTTTTTTGCCACTGTCCTTCGGAATAATTGGAGTCCAAATGTTCCGAAGTCCTCCCATTTCCTCAGTGCTGCTCATTACTCACCTTTTAAGTGTGTTTTTTGGTATAATTCTGCCACTATGGGGTAAGTTAGGACCAAAATGGGACTGAAATGATGTGAATCCTGAACTCAGGTGACTAGATTTTTTTTGCAGTCTGATGACCCCTTGACAACTGTGTGACCACAGCTGAGCTTTCCTGGGAGCTTTCGATTCCTGTGAGTAAACAGGGAGGGTGTTGGGTAGAGCAATTTGTGAAGGTGGGGGGAACTTACACTCAGATTTGGAAAACAACCACCTACCCTTTTCTGTGGAAATCAAGGGAAATGAATCTTAAAACCACTCAAAACACCCTGTATCTCTATCTCTCCTTTCCCTCATTTGGGATTGGAGTGGGAAGGGAGAGTTGTCAAAGTCTAAACCATTAAAGCTAGTGGTTATTTCCCCTTCCTTCTCAGGAAGTTGGACTAGAGCTAAATTTAAACAACTCTGTTGTTCACAGCTACATAAAGAATTTAGTCTTCCTTTTCACGGAGCCAGCTGTGTTTTGTAACTGTCTCTCCTCAACTCTAAACAAATAAAGAAAGGAAGAAAGAAAGCAGGGCTGTCTAGATCCATCCTAAATTGTTCTCTGTTTTATAGAACAATCTAGAAATAACTAGCTCTGCTGTTCAGACTGCAGGAAGAGCTTACTTCACTGAGGCACTTTGCCTTTAGAACAGACTGCTGCTGACAAGCACATAGTAGGTATTCAGTGGGCTGTACTGGAGGCATAGCATGGGCAGACATGTTTCTAATCAACAGCAGACTGCAAAGGAGAGAAACGGCACCCATTTAGTCTAAACACTGGCTGACCCTGTAGGGAGGGCCAGAGGACGGTGGGTGATTAAATGACAGGTGCGTTTTGAGTTTGTCTGTTGAATGTAGAGAACATTTTTTCTTCTAAATCATAGCTCTTGGAATATGTCAGATGGAACTGTGGAGGGATTTCTTTAAGCCACCATGTAGGCACTATTTGTACTAAAGCATTGCTGACGGCAAGGCCAAGCTTTCCCATTTCCGTATAGCTATGGGAACCATTCCAAAGTCTTAGTGCACGTAATGGTGTCTGCTCAAGGTCACAGATAGCACATCTGACAGTATGGCAACACATACTGGGTATGCGCTGGGCAGGTGTTGGCCAGGTACCTACCACACTGCAGGGCAATCAATGATAACATGGGTTTTCTTGGGACTAAGGTGATGGGCTTGGTGTCTTCAATATTTGTTGCACAAACTTGAGAAGCTGAGTTTGATCCCCAGAACCCACATAAAAAAGCTGGGCATGGTTGCACACTTTTGTAACTCTAGCATTTGGGGGGAGTGGGGACAGAGATAAGTGGATCCTAGTTGGTGAGTGCAGCATTCACAGACAGACCCGACCTCATTTTTTGAGCTAAGGTGGGGAGTGATAGTGGAAGATGGCCTTCTCGCAACTTCTCTCACACATACACAAAAGTGCACGTGTGCATGCACACACACACACACACACAAACACATGTCTGCTTGCACGTACATATACACTAACACAAAATAGACACAACAGAATGGGTTTCTTTCCTTAGACTATTACAAGCCTTGGAAGAAAAACACGAACCACGTCAAGTTCTCGTTGTTGTGACCAAAAGACCTGACAGAAACACTTAAGGGAAGGAAGGCTTGTATGGATTCACGGTTTCAGAGGGATTTCAGTCTCTCATAGTGGAAAGAAGATGATAGCAGGAACAGATCTACCCATTAAAGCGAGAGTGTGAATCAAAGGCTCGCTCACACTTGTTCACACTGGCTGACAAGGAAGCCAAGGTTGTAGCAAGAACCAGGGGCAAATGCAACCTTCCAACACCAGACACTATTGCCTAAATATTCTAAAGGCTTCAAAATAGCACCTCAGGTAGGGACCAAGTGTTCAAAACATGAACTTGTAGAGGTCAGTTCAGTTTCAAACCATCATACAATGAACCACTCAATCAAAGGAGGAACAAAGGCAGAGCAGGACACATGAAATCAAGAGAGGGAGGGAGGGAGGGAGATAATTGGAATGTTCAAGGGAGATTTGTGTGGTGGGGGTGGGGATGCTTGACACAGGCCTCGGAGGATGGGAAGACTTCCTATTGTATTTTTTTGTGCACATGTTTGTGTGTGTGCGTGTACAGACAGGCACACATGCATACATGCACAGAGCCTAGAAGGTTTTGGGGCTGTTCCTCTGGAGTATCCACCTTATCTTTTCCTCTTGTTTATTTAGGTGTGTGTGTGTGTGTGTGTGTGTAAGTGTGTGTGTGTGTGTGTGCAGGTGTGTGCCTCTTCCTCTTGTTTATTTAGGTGTATGTGTGTGTGTGTGCTAGAGGTCACCTTCAGGTGTCATGCTTCAGAAGTCATTTACTTTCTTTATTGTAACAGGTTCTCTCATTAGCCTATAATTTGCCAATTAAGCTTAACTATTTGTCCTACAAGCTCCGGGCTCTTTGCCTCTTCAGTACTAGGGTTAAGAACCTACACCATCATACATGGGTACTGGAGATTTTCCTCAGGTCCTAATGCTTGGACACCAAACACTTTACTGACTGAGCCATTTCCTCATCCTGAAAAAGGTTGTTGATGAGCAGGAGATGAAGAAGGGCCTTCCAGGTCAAGAGACTAGCATGGGCCAAGTTACGAGGACACAGTGGCGAAGAGGGAACGGCCTGTACTGCTAAGACGAGGAAGAGTATAATGGAAATAAGGCCTTTCACACCAGTCTGGGGTCACTTAAATGCTTGGCCAAGAACTTGGGGCCTTAAAATCCATTAAGTAGAAAGTGAGGGAAAAGTTCCAAGCCCTGAGTTGGTAGTGCAGGCCTCCTTCAGAGGAAGGACCTAAAGCAGGGGCACTAGAGATGGGAGTGGCAATTCTGGGAATCTTGAAGTGGATTTTGGGGCTCAGGTGCACATTCCCCATTCTGTTGAAATTCCTTGTGATCCATATCCAATGCCTGGGTCCATCCCTCAACCACCAGGTTCCCTGCTGGCTCCCCTCCAGTATTTTCTCTCTCCTCAGGGGTTCCCCAAGACAGAGCATGCGTGAAATGGGGGTGGGGGCTCTCTGGACAATGAGAGGAGTCCTCCATAACACTCTCTCTTCAGGTCCCAAGCCATGGTTCTTTCTGCATCTCCGTCTTCACTCTCCACTGGCCCGCCTACTCCGTACAGCCCCAACTTCAAGGCCTGCCAGATGGTCAGTGGCGGATGGATGGCTGTCCCTCACCCACCTGAGCCACACCCACAGGCAGGTTCACCATTTACTCCACAGATAGACTTCCACACCCTCTCAGCAAATGGCTATCAGCCCCACAATCAGAGATGGGTCTCACGACCCATTGTCCAAATCTTCATTTTCCTCTTCAAGTAACTTCAGAGCCCTCCTCTCTCTTGAACATTCATGGCTTAAGTTTTGAATTTTTTTTGGTCAATTTTAATTCAAAAACTATTACCCAACTGGGACTCTCCTGAGACACAATGGTGAGAAGGCAGTATTGGAACCATACATACCTACACTGGCGTGCTATCTAGCAAAGAAGACAACTTTAGGATGGGGAGCTAGCCAGTTGGCAAGCTGCTTGCCTCACGTGCATATGGACATGGGTTCAATCTCCAGCGCCCTCATAAAAAGGCTAGGTGTGGAAATGCATGCTTGGAATCCCGGCACTGGGGAGGTGGATAGAGGAGGACCCCTGGTGCTTGGCGGCCAGCCAGCCTGACCAAACCACTGAGCTCCAGGCCACTAGGAGACTCTGTCTCAAAGGAGGTGGATGACCTTCCAGAGGGTGACTCCTGAGGTTTTCCTCTGACCTCCATACACATATGTGTGTGTACCTTCAGATAAACACACACAGAGAAAAGATGGACATTCAGCAGGAGCTGGGAGATGGGTGACCTTTTCAAAGATAGAAGTATAAGGGCCGTCTCTGTATGGCTTCTGCCTGCTGTTGAACCCTCCAGCAGACAATCCTGCAATCTTTCCAGAAGCATGCTCCAAACTTTCTTCTCAAAAATATCTATGCCAGTCCCACTTTTGTTGAGTTGCAGCCATGTCTGAGAACGACATCACTTGAGGTCCTTTATGATCGAATGTCAAACCTGTGCTAACCTGGACATCCATCCCTTTTAAGCCCTCTGCTCAGTGGCCTCAGGCTGGGGAGATGCCCTCTGCTTTCCCATGGACCTTTGTTCAAGTGATTCCTTTATTCTGTTCCCACATGTACAAAGCCTGTTTGTCCTCTGGCAGGGACACCTTATTTTCCACAAAAGCTGCCTGCCCCGTATCCTCAGCTCCTGGTCCTGGCCTCATGGCACTTAGCAGAGTCTAATACAGTGTGTGTGGTTTAGCTTCTCACCCACTCCCAAGGACACAGAGACTACCTGATCCATCCTGAATAATCATAACAATGAAACAACAGCCCTAAGAGGAGTTCTACAGTGTATGCTTTGCTTGTGAGCCTGGCTCTGGGGTGACTGCTTCCCCCTCACCAGGTAACAAAGACGATAACCATAACAAAAGCTGTGGTTGCTTACTTTTATAGGCCAGGTGAGTAAGCTCAGAGCAGACGCCTGACTTTGTGGTTTTGATTCCAGGAAGCTCACCTTGAAACCTGTGTCTCTAGCTATGATCCCTGCTTTATTCTCTTGCTATGTCCAGCCAGGTTTCTTGTTGATTAGCCTCCACAGAGGGGCTCACTGACTGGACAGGGAAGTCCACAGCAGCCTCTCCAAGGTCATGTCATAAGTCACATTCACTGAGATTTGACAAATGAGAGTTGTATGAGAGTTGTTAGTGCCCACATCTCTTGTACTTATTATCTATAACAGTGATCCTTCCTAATGCTGTGACCCTTTAATACAATTTCTCATGTTGTGGTGACCCCAACCATAGAATTATTTTCATTGTTACTTCATAACTATAATTTTTCTACTGTTATGAATCATAATGTGAATATCTGATATGCAGGATATCTGATATTTGACCCCTGTGAAAGGGTCCTTTGGCTCCCAAAGGGGTTGTAACACATAGGCTGATCCAAGACACATGGGCAACAGTTTCCAATGGGAACGTAAATGTCTTGAACTGGTTTACCACAAAAGAGTAGATGGTAGTTTAGTTAGTTCAGACTCTTTGAGTCTAATTTGTCTTGGACAGTGACATGCCCCATCCCACAGCCCTACTTGGACCCAGGCTTCCATGTTGCTGCCTCTGTCTAGGCTGAGAGGTTGTTTGTGACAAAGCACTGTCTCTTCTTCTAGACCCAACTTCCCCAGAGGAGAGTGGTGTGGCTCCCAGGCCTGTCCCCATGTGTTACCCTGCTCAGAGGCAGACAGGCCTGCTTTTGTGAGCCCAAGTGGGTGGGTGGCCCTCTGTGGCATCCCAAGTCAGCGGGAGCAGGGCCAGAGGGGCAGCTTGGGGTGGAAAAGTTAGGAAAGAGAAAGAGTGGGGAAGCTGTCCTCAGACAGCTACCAGCAGGCCAGCATAGTGCTGCCTCCATTTCTTTCTGAGGAGTGACTGAGGTGAAAGCTGGGGGTGGAGCCCAGAGCCTGGGCTCCTGAGGCTCCCAAGTCCACCATATCTGTTGGTAGATAAGACTGCCTATCCTGTTCTTTCTCTTCCTTGCCCTTCAGTCCGTGAGGGACTAAGAGTTTGGTAGCAGCTGTAGTTCGAATGTCTCTACCAACTTTTGTTCTTAAACATCATCCCCATTGTAAGATATTCAGAAGTAGGACCATTAAGACCCCAGGGAAGTGGCTGGGTCATGGGGACCTTGAAAAGCCTCATAGAATGATGAGTTATTGAGCTATCTCCAAGGTGCACACACACACACACACACACACACACACACACAAAGACCTACCTTGGATACATATGTTCTCTAATGCAGATTGTTCTCATATTCACTATGTAGCCATGGAAGATGACTCTGGATTTCTGATCCTCCTGACTGGGATATAGGCATATGCCACCTCACCCAGGTCAGGTGAACCCAGGACCTCATACATGTCAGGAAAGCACCTGAGCTACATTCCTTGCCTACAGGGCAGCACTTTTCTTTTGCAGTTTTACCTTTATTTAGTTATATGTGTGCACATGTCCATATGCACATACTAACCCATCCCATCACACACACACACACACACACATGTCAGAGGGCAACTTGCAATAGCTAATTCTCTTGTACCATGTAGGTCCTGGAAACTGAACTTGGGTTTGGTAGCAAATCAGGTTTGGTAGCAAAAGCCTTTAGGTTCTGAGCCACCTCATTGGCCTCAGGGGAGGTTTGCCCTGACTCTGTAATGTGTCTCTCTTACCACCTGGTGCCCGGTGCTGCCAATAACTCTGAGGAGAACCGAGTCCCCACTAAATATGACCTCTTGACCTTGGGCATCCCAGCCTCCAGAAACATGAGCTAAATAAACCTTCATTCTTTACAAGTTACCAAGCAGGTGACTCCATTTATCAGCAGAATGTAGACTTGTTTCTTTCCTTGGTTTGAGCTTGACTTGGCTTGACTTCTCAGCCTGTAGGCTTCTTTATATGCTACTCTGTATGCCATAGCCCAGCTTAACTGCCATGTTTTTGGAAGACATGCCAGAGTGTGCACAGACAAACAGATGTGCCAGCTGATGAATAAATGGTTGGTGTTGGCCGGTCCCGTGTAGCGCACCATGCTTTCCAGACTGATTCAATGATGCCAGGCTCCTGGGGACCTCATGAGAGCTACACTGTGCATACGGCATCACAGGACTCTCTAAGAATCAGGGACACATATTGAGAAGGTGGCATTTGTCTGACATGCCCCTCAGACCACCAGTGATATTCCAGTTTCATGGCCTCTTGGGGGCATCTGCAGGACCCATGACATCACTAGAGAGTCAGTCCTTACATCAGGACCATGGCGTTCAGGCTCCAGCTGAGCTTCCTTCAACAACATCAGACTTGTATCGCGTTCTGTGCAACATGGCTCTCCACTGACACAGCCTGGATCCAGGGCTGATTTCCTGACCTTGGGGTCCAAGCTGTGAAACAGGACAATTAGAAAAGAAATCACAGGAGGTGGCCTCATCTCCAAAGAGAAGGGCTTGCAGACAGCCAGTCTGGCTATAAGTCTGTAGCTCCATCCTCGGTGCCGTGAAGCAAAGAAACAGAACAGTGATTCAGAGAAGAGCAGGCAACACTTGTCTCCCCATGGACCTTCCCCAGGACCACTGAAGAGAGGCTTCAGTGCCTGGGACAGGCCTCTGTAAGAGTCTCTATGCCTAGAGTACTGTGGGTTGGAAGGACCTTAGTGTCTGCAGGTACAGGGAGGCTCTGTGACAGCCACTGCTGTTGAAGACATAAGTCTATAATGATGATGAATGAGACTTCCTAAGTAGAGGGGAGAGGCTTGAAGGAGAAGAGGAAAATGGGGGGCAGAGAGGTAACATCATGTAGCCCAGTTCTCATTGAAAATTGTAATGAACTAAGACCTCAACGCCTTGGCTTCTACCTACCAGGTAAAGGGCTTAACAAGCCCAGAGGACAGATACTGGGACATTCATGGCCCCATGCAGCAAATGGCTACACAGAACCATGGCTGCTACTTATGGATGCTGTTTCCACATCTGACCAGACCTAAAGTACTGTAAGCTGCAAATCATTTTGTGCACCACTGAGGGAAAATGTCCCATAGCGTAACTCTGGAGATGCTGACCTACTTAAAACATGTGCATCTGAGGTGACAAAAGACTGGGTACCCCAGTGGGTCAGGAACCCAACTTTGACTTGCACACCATCCCAGAAGTATCCCTTCCATGCAGGAGAGGACACAAGGCTCAGAGCAGTGGGTGTGCACCCACATCGGGGGAGTCACAGAGACTACAGCTATTCTGTGCCCCAGCCATTAAGCCATCCTGTCATCTGCTCCTCCTTCCAGACTTAGCAAACAGAAACCACAAAGAAGCCACCAAACTGTAGGAAAAAGGGAGGCTTGCTGTGCCACAACTTTCCCCATCCATGCTCACTTGTGCCTAGGCTCACTTTTATCTCAGGTTCCCGGGACTTAAGCATCTGTCCTTGGGCTGTGGGGTCAGGAAACTTCCACAGGAAGATCTCAGAGCTCTGGCCATTCGCTTCCTAGTTCATAAGCCTCCCTAGGGTGGGCCTTTCTTTTTCTGACCCTTCTCTTTGTTTCCCAGGCATCCATTTGTGATTTGTGCCAGATTCTGTAGCATCACCCTTGACCTTGAACCCCATCCTTCCCACATCTTCCTTGCCTCCTTCTGTTTCCCTCATCGTCTTAACCCTTCAGCATCTCCCTGCCTTCTTCCCAAGCCTTATTCATGTCTTAATCACTTCCTGACCCATTCACGCCCCCATCTCTTTAAGGTTTCTTAGAATTCCTGCCTGTTAAGATGAAAATGTGGGTGTAATGCAGAGATGTCTGTGTGGGGAAAAAGGGCTGTTACACATGTCTTCTCGCTCTCTCTTTGGCTCCTTGACCTCCACCATTGACTATGGGTCGCACGCAGACAATCACCTCGTGCCTTCCAACTCCTGTCATCATCCTACATCTCTTTGCTCTCTGTCTTGACCTTTTGGCTCTCCGTCCCTGGTTTTCCACGGTGAAAAGGTAATTATATCCAATCAAGTCCCCCATCTCCTCAGACACTCTTGCTCTCTCCCTTCCCAGCCACTGAGTCATCCTTTCCTGCCACACCTCTCTCCAAGCCTTCCCCAGGATGAAGAATGGGAGTTGGCGCTCTCCTCTCCTGATTTTACTCCCTGCTTCAGAAAGACAATAAAGCATGGCTTGGAAACACTTCCTCACTGACAAGGGTTTTCTGCTGGCAATGCCTGCCCTCTCCCTCCCCCACTGACCTTCTCCTTGCTCAGCCTCTCTCTCCCTTCAGAAACCATTCTTACCACACTCTCCACTCAGCTAACTCCCTTACACGACCCCACCCGGAGGAACTTTCAAACACTAGTCACTTCAATATGCTTTCAGTCCTTACTGATAGTATTTGTTTGTGGCAGACTCACAATATGGGTCTCCTTGGCTGTAAGCTCAGGGTACAGAGATGTCTGCTGCATTCATACTCTCCACACGCCCAGAAGGCTCCATACATGTTGAAGACCCGTGTGCTGATGACTGGGTATAGCTCAGTGGTACAGAGTTTGCCTAAAGTACACAAGGCTCTGGGATGGAATCCTAGAGCCCGCAGCACCAATTTAAAAAAAGAAGAAATAAAAAGAATTCCCAGTCACCACAGAGACTGTGAGTCCACTTAAGACTTCACGAAGGCTCCTTTGATTCAATGAGCATCTATAGAGACCCTGCTGTGAGTTGAGTCTTGTGTTAAACATGGTGAACATAACAAAAAGCAAAGCAAAACAAAACAAAACAAAAACCCTCTGGCTTCTTGAAGCTTGTCTTCTAGCAGAAAATGCTTTTTTGAAGTGATTATATTGTTACCCACCTAATACTGGACTGTTATAAGTATTGGAGATAATGTTTAAATCATTTTTGCGAGAGTCTCGTGTGTCCCTGGCAGATCTCAGACTCTGCTGCAGCAAGGGGTGAGTCTGCACCTCCTGAGTGTGGGGATTATGCATTCCCTGCTTGTTCGTGTGCTGCTGGGGACTGAACCCGGGATCTTGTGCACGCTAGACATGCACCATGCCAGCCCCGTTACATTCCCAGCCCCAGAGCACTGACATACAGAAAGCTATGAAACTGGAGAGAGAGGGAGAGAAATTAGGATCTTTCAAAACAGCTTTCTAGGCCGGGTGGTGGCGCACGCCTTTAATCTCAGGACTCAGGAGTCAAAAATAGGTGGATCTCTGTGAGTTCGAGGCCAGCCTGTTCTACAGAGTGAGTTCCAGGACAGCCTCCAAAGTTACACAGAAAAACCCTGTCTTGAAAAACACAAGCAAATAAAAGAGCCAAAACAAATAAACAAAAAAAACTTTCTAGAGATATAATTCACATATTACAATTAACCATTAAAAAGTGTGCAATGCAGTGGCTTTTAGGACATTTATAGAATCATTCAATTATTGTCACTATCTAATTTGGGGATATTTCCAGAGAGATATCCCTATTATTTCTTATTTTTCCCATTCCTTTACTCCTTGACAATAACCAATTTACTTTGTTCCCAAGGATTTGTCTAGTCTGGACATTTCGTGCGCATGGAGTTCTGCGTTTTGTGACCGGTGTCTTTTACACCATGGTTCATCATGCTGTAGCATGCAGCAGAACTTTGCTCCCTTTAATAGCTAAAGGTACTTCTCAGCTCTGATACGTCATTTTACCAACGCTGGCATCTGACGTGAGCATATGCCTTCCTTCCTCTCGGGAATCTACATAGGGGTGCAATTGTTGGGTCCTGTGTTCACCCGATGCTTCACGCTTTGGGGAACTGCCAGCCTTTCCCCACGGTGGCCACACTAGTTTGTATGCTCAGCAGCACCATACGCGAGCCCCGTTTTCTCCACATCCTGGTCAACACTTGCCACCGTCCACCTTTTTCCTTGATGTCCTCTTAGCAGGTATTACATGGTACAGAGCTTGGGTTTTGCATTTCCTTGGTATCTGAGAGCATCTTCGCATGTGGAAAGGAGGCGTCTGGCTTGTGTTTGTAAGGCAGGTCTAGCCTGGGGTCCCCAGCACAATACCCGCACAGTGCCAGGTCCTCTGCTGGCTACAACCCCACAAGAGGAACGCTTCGCAAAGACGAAGCTGTTCTTCCTTTGTTCCTCCCCACCCCCTGCTTATAAACTGCGTCCCAACCCTCTCGGAGGCTGAGATGGCAGGCCAGAGAGGAAAGGGGGACACAGAACAAGGAAGGCAGTTGAATGGTCATCTGAGGAGTGGCTTGCACTCTCATAACACGTGAGGGTGAGGCTGAGACCTGGCAGACACAAGATGGAGCTCCTGCCACTGTCGGGGCTGGGGATGGGGGGGCGGGGATGCCTACCTGCCTACGGAGCTTAGAACCAAAGATGAGGGTGCAGAAGAACTCTAGCTACACAAACACCCTGATGAGTTGGAGGCACACTAGAGACAAAGCCATCCTGGGTCGTTGGTCATGGGCGTGGGGGGGGGGGGCTGAGGTTGAAACGGTACATCAGCTGGTGAGTGGGTGTGCTCTGATACTGTTCCCCCATGATGTGAGCCAGAGGCCACCGTGGAGTGACCCTACAGTGGAGTCAGGGGCAGACCTCCTGGGTAGGGAGGCAAAGGCCCACAGCCAGAAAGCATTGGTCAGCCAAGGCGCCGCCCTGAGCCCCAACACAGCCAAGAGAGTCCAAAAGCCCCGGTTTGAGTCATAAAGGCGAAGGAATGGGAAGACCAAGGCAAGCAGACTGGGCTGAGACCCGGAGCGAGGGCCCTGAAGGACCTTTGGGGACAAGTTCTTCTCTCTTAGAGAGGAAGAGGAACCCTGGCTCCTCTCTCCCATCACCTCTGAGAGGGTCAGGGAGGGTGAAGTTGGAGAAGTCTGAGGGGCAATGTGTCCCTCACTTTGAAGATGGCCTAAGAAGATAGATGATGACCAAGGTGCTTTTACCCACCTAATAGCCTGAGTATAGCAGCCACGTTCTACAGGGAGCCCAGGCTCTGGTTTTCACCAGCTGGCTCATCAGAGAGGCCCCTGCCCCTTGCTGATGAGAGGACATGTCCAATTAGTGTTGATGTCCTCAGCCATTTTCAGGGACAGCTGAGTCAAAGGAGGCCCTAAAGCAAAAACAAACAAACAAACAAACAAACAAAAGTTTTCCTCTTTGACCAGCAAGACCAAGTTTAAGTATGTGTCCCTGTCATTGCTGGTGGTGATTCCTTCAGAAAGCCATTTGGAGGCGTTTGGATGGGTCAAGCTTAAAGAAACATCCGTCACTTACTCCCTGCCTGGCTTTTGAGACTTACTTCGTCCTAAATGCTAGGCCGGCTCTCCCCGTGTTTCCCAAGTCCCACCCCCCACCCCCAGCAACCCTTGCAAGCAGATATAGCTGTGCTACTTCATAGACAAAGAAACTGGGGCCTTGGTGAGGTTTCCCAGGCTCTGAGTAAAAAATTAGGCCAGCATTTGATTTAACTGCAAGAGGCTGGGCACTTAGCTGCTATGTACACTGTTTCTCTCTGTTCTACTTAGAAAAAAAAGTTGTCCATGGGGCTAAGTAAGAGCTGTTCCTTGAGGACAATACAAAACTGCTTCCATTTGTAAATTACCTACTCATTTCATAAAAAGGGTGGTTAACCAAAGTGGTAGAGAGCCTGAGAATTCATTCCGGCCATCTCCCTATGCACCAGCCCACACGGTCTGCCTCAAGGCTTTAGCGCTGTTGGCATGGCAACTGTTCCTAAAAGACACCGTACTTAACTCTGCTCACACTTTTTCTGCCCATGCACACATGTCCACCCATCCATGTATCCATCCAGGTTCTCATCTTATAGGTTTTTTGGGAAAAGTTTCATTTTTTTTTCATTTTCCAGTTTAAATTTAGATTAGAAACAAGGTTGCTTCACAAGTCAGTTCCAGGTCCCTCTCCCTTTCCTTCCCCTCCTCCCGTGCCCTCCCCCCAACCCCCCCATTATCCCCTCATTCCCCCAGGGAGGGTGAGGCCCTCCATGGGGGTGTCCATAGTCTGTCATTTCATATAGGGCAGGGCCTAGACCCTTCCCCAAGAGTTCAGGGTAAGAGTGCATTTTACATTGTTGGATGGGAGTCCAAAGTCTGTGTGTATACTCGGGATGAGTACTGATCTGCTGCCCAAGGCTCAATAGATTACCTAGGCCTCCTCACTGACACCCACAGGAAAAGTTTCATTTTTTAATGTATTGTTTTTAGGTATGAGTGCTCTCTGTCTTCATGTATGTCTGCATGCCAAAAGAGGGCATCAGATCCCATTACAGATGGTTATGAGCCACCATGTGAGTGCTGGGAATTGAACTCAGAACTTTTGGAAGAGCAGCCAGTGTTCTTAACGGCTGAGGCACCTCTCTGGCCTGTCTTATGAGTTTTTTAGCTTAGTTTGTGCCAGGCATTGGCAACCCTACGTCCAGGAGGCTCCCCACTTTAAGTAGTAATGCAGTCAAAAGAAGTCCCCCCCCCAGAAAACAGTTATATAGACGGTGTGAATGTGACTTTCTGCACCCTACCCCTTCTTTTCCTTCTGGCCTTGGCTTGCAAGTCACTCTTCAAGGAATCTTGCCTGTCAGTCTTACTCTTCATTGCTGCTTGGTCCCTTGATGGTGAGGAGAATGTCCTCCAAAAGCAATTGACTGCTTTTTGTTGTTGTTGTTTTTTTTGTCTTTTGTCCTTTGATGATGAAGCATGTGTGCGGTACGAGTGTGTGTGTGTGTGTGTGTGTGTGTGTGTGTGTGTGTGTGTGTGTGTCTTGCCCTGCTATAGTGTGGTCCCTCAGTACCAGGACCACATCTAATCACAGAGGTATCTCTAAGACCTCACTCTGGTACTTAGACTGTTGCTTGAATAAATAAAGGTTACTGTATTCATCCAAGCTGAACTGCAAAGTCTGGGCTGGGCAACCAGAACTAACAGTGCAGATTTGATCAAGGGTGAGGCATGATCAGATCTGTGGTTTCCAAGGCAAGGCTAGCAGTACTGTGGACAAGGGAGGAGGAGGAGGAGAAAATGTAGAAGCAACTTCAACTGACAAGTCCAGAATTCATTGACCTGAGCTATGACAATGATGACAGGCAGGGACATTTGATGGGCAGCATCCTGACCAGATGCCTGTGAGTAGTCAGAGACAGGAAATGTGGCCACATCTGCACCGAGGGTGACTTTGCAAGCATTGAATGCAATCAACCAAGAGGGTAAGGCAGAAGGGGAGGACAGGGGTCATTTTCAGGTTGGGCAGGGCTCCCCCTCCTCTTCAGGAGTAAGTTCATGGTGGCCATGGTATTTTCTTAATACCGTCCTTAGGCCTGCCCAGGGAGGCTCCTTGGAAGTCGTGTCTCTGGGGGACTAGGGTGACGGGAAGGATGGAATCTGGGAGACAAGGTTGTCTCTGGGGTGGACATGGGCACTCAGAGAGAACTTGTGAATTAATAGACTCCCAAAGACAGGTGCCCAGGGCTGCCACACTTCAAAGAGTGGCTAAAGGAACAGAAACCAGGGTAGAGTGTTAAAAGAAAGAGCCAGAAGTCAGGTACTGGAGAGACAAGAGAAAGGAGGATTGTCTGGGGCAGTATTCAAAGTGTGCTGACCTGCTTTGAGAAGCTCCGATGAGCAGTTGGGAGGGGCACAGGCTTGAGAGCCCTGGGAGAATCCATCAGGTGGCAGGGCCTTTCACAGACGACGTGGTGATCGAGCTACAGGGAGAACCGGGACATCCGGAAATGGCAGCAAACTTCTCAGAGCTGGAGATGGGGGCAAAGAGTAACAAAATTACAGCTGAGTTCTCAAGCATCCATCCCACTTCCTGGAGGACTTTGTGTCTTTGGATTTCTTCCATGTCACACACAGGTGATTTCTAAAGCAGTCATGGGATAACCCCACACATACTCCAAAGACTCCACTTCCTCTGCTCTTACGTGCTCATATATGCCTATCATTTGCTTGGCTAATCACTCCATGATTGATGCATCACAGTTTCAGTATTTTTTTTCTCCTACACACAGCTCTGCAGTGAGTTTCACACCGTGTCTTAGGGTATTTGTGTGAGTTGTTCCATAGGAGAAACTCTTAACACTGGCTTGTGCACCATGGTTCTGTATATAAGTGTGCTTTTTCCCAAAAAGGCTCCCTGAATTTGTCTACTCAACCATGAGGATGCAAAGTTCAGGGAAGAAAATACACCCCAAGGAAGTTTGTAAAACAAAAACAAGGATGCTAATGTATTCCAATTTGATGACTGCGCTGCTTTCTTTCTAATTAAGATGTAGGCTGAAGAGGATGTATTTATGCAAAAGTAACTGATTAGCCTGATAAATGTGGTGGAGATGGAAACACTTCTCAAGGACATAAAATACCAGTCTTTCCTCTCAGTTTGACTGTCTCCTATACCCAGTCAGTATGTGACTGAGACACTGACAACTCCTCATGGCATGTTCAGACTCCTAGAGTGTTGCATGTTATTTTTTCACAAATTTCAGGGCCATCAAAGATTCAAGTCTGTTAAAATGTTTTGTGGATACAACGATATCCCTGGGATTTGGTATTTAGCATGTGAAGTCAGCTTAATTGTATGCTCACACGATTGTCTTTGGCATAGAGTGGGGAAACCTCCTCTGCTCCCTGCAGAGAACACAAAAGCATTCAGAGGGAAAACAGAGACCAAGTACTGAGGGCCCCTGGCTCGCACTTGGGCGCCCTCTTCTGGCCCTGGGCTCCACTGCACCCACCCCAATTTCAACCCGGTCATGGAAGGAACCTGATTTTCAGCTTTTTAAAGACAGCTAGCTTGAGTTCGCCAACCGACACTAACATCAACCTTTGATTTTTCTGATGCCAAAGCCACTGAGAACCCAAGGTATTCTCTTTCTATATTTGTTCTGTATTTTCAGGTTGGGCAGGGCTCCACCTCCTCTCCAGGACTGACTCCTTGGTGACTTTTAAGCCCTTAGAATTCCATTTATATTTGTTAATGACCAAGGAAGAAAAGCCATAACTTTGGATATACAGGAATAGGTCTAGAGATTAAAGCAGAACAGCACAATGCTACGCACTACACACGGTGTGTGAGCACGGTGTGCCTGGGACTGAGGTTTTCTAACCACTTCGCAAAGCTGGCGGCCTCTAGCACTATTCCCTGAGTAACTTCTGTGTGACAGGAAATGTGGTAGGAGAGGGTCTTTTCAGAGGGCGAGCTGTGAATGTCCCTGCACATTATGTATGCTAATTGGGCAGGGTTTCTACTGTGAAGTACTGTGACTCTCCCAGCACCCAAACTGCTTATTGCAGCCTGGGTGTTAATGTGTGCTGCCTTGTGACTGTTAAATTCAGTCCTTACGGTTGGTTCCAAAGTGGCTTCATTCTAGCATCTTTAAAAGGAGCTAGCCAGGACCATGCTCAAAGTCGGCTGTGATGGGAGGGAGGTGTCAGCACGAAAGAAAACAACTTTTCCAAATAGTTGTCCTCTCTGGAGCTCTAAGAGCAGAGGTGAGGCTGGGATGGTTGGATGTGGCCCTAAGTCCACACACCCTGCTGGGTGAGCCGCAGGCCTGTAGCCCTCAGCCCCTGCCCAGTCGCCGTGCCCTGCTCCTCCTGCTCTCCCTGCAGGTAGACACAGAGCAGGGGCACATCTGCCAGACAGGGGATCCACCCAGGCTGTGCTAGCCAGGCTGGGTATGCACAGAGCAGACGATGACAGTGGAGTACATGACAGCAGACGGCAGCGCTGTCGGATGAGTTGGAGAACGTTATGCAAGAGAGAGACGAAAATAGACCAGGTGAGACCAAGGACGACAAATTCCATACAATGTCCAGTGAGTGTGCATTAGTTACCTCTGCCTAGTCTTTCCCTAGACTCCAGTTGGACCTCAGAAGGACAGGGATCCTCTAGATTTGAAACCACAGTACTGATGCTTCTTGGAGAAAACTGTGTGTCCTAGACTACTGCCCACAGCTCAGCGGGCTATCTCTCTCTTCACCATCATTAACCTGGCTTTTTAAGAAAGCTGCCATTCTTTCTAAAAACCATTCCATTTTCCAAAACATCTGGAAGAGGGCTATGTTTTATAGGCTGCTTTGTCAAAAGTTCCAACATTTCTGGTGCACTTTCTGAAGTCACATTGTTCAATTAGCCCAGTTCATTCTGTCCAACTCACCAAATATTTATTGAGCTGAGTGTTAGGAAAAGGCCCGGACACCACCCTCAGGAAATTCACAGACCGAGAATGAGAAATGGCGAGCAGAATGATTCAGTACCGCATGGGTAAGCGCAAGGAGAGGTTGCCACAGAAGGGAGCACTTCGTGAGTTATTGTCTAGAGGGACAGCCAGCGCTAACTGGAAGACCACTCCAATAAAAGTAGAAATTTAACCTAGGACCAGCGCTGTTGGGGGGGGGGCAGGTGGCGCTGTGCGGTTGTAATGCGGCACCTGACTGGGGTGGGGGAGAGCAGGTGGATTAGCTGTCAGAGTGTTCAGGGCACTGGAGGAATGGAAAGGTGGCAGGGACCCACGGGGTATAACTGTATTAGTTACTTGTCATTGTGACTAAATACTCGACAACAACAGCTGACAGGAGCAAGGGTTTACTTTCGTGGCAGCAGGAGTGTGAGGCAGCTGGTTACATTCTGTCAGTAGCCGGGAAGCCGACAGAGGGTGGAACAGACAACAAACCTCACGGCCCGGCCCCAAAGGACTCACTTCCTCTTGCAAGACTTCACCTAAAGGTTTCTTAACCGTTCAAACCAGAGCCACCCACTGGGGACTAGATGTTTATGCACATAAGCCTAAGGGAGATATTTCACATTCAGACTACAGCAGCATCTAAGGGGCCAGAGGAAGGCTGGTGTGGTTGAAACACAGGGCCAGCAAAGTCAGCAACCGACCCCTCTATGGGTGTGGCTGACAGTGGCCTTCACATCCCTGAGCTTGCTTCTTCCTCTGTAGCCTCACTAACTGGGAATGGATGAGCCTTACCATCCCAGCCGTCTCCTCCGTTAGCACCATTCTTATCCCTGTTGCCCGGTTTAGCCTACAGGGAAGGACCTACCAGGCTAGCTGAATGTTTCTGTCCAGCAGTTCACATGAGTCTGTGGGCACCAGGCCAGGAGGTCTCAGAAGCCGTGGAAATTAGCGTAAATGTCTGTAAAGGTAACCACTGGTTTTCTGGAGACATTCTGAATGAATGACTGGTTAGCCAGCTGACCACAAGATTAAAAAAAAAGAAAGAAAGAAAGAGTCCAAGAGTTTATCCTGAATACCCCAAAGGAAAACGAAAAAAGACAGAGGAAGGACAGAGCCTTTCAAGAGAAGACAGCTATAAATGGAAAATTACACTAAAGGAAAACAAACCTTATTTGATGTGAACCCATTTTTGACTCTCTGTCTGGAAATCCAGGGCAAAAGGAAGTGGAGGGGACAGGGAGTGAGCAGATCTGCCCAGGCTGAACCACCCACCACTGGAGCTGGGGTGAACGTGTGTGTGTGTGTGTGTGTGTGTGTGTGTGTACACGTGCACGAGTACGCACACACAGGAGTGCACATACTATGGCAGGTCCGTAGTAAAGGCAGCACCCATATAGCCACCATCCAAATACAGACAGATCCAGGCTCCTGGGGTTGTACAGGCTGGCCCATTGCTGTCAGGGTGCCAGGCGTGCAATATGGTGAGGAGTGTTGGGGAGCACTGTCAGGCTCTAGGGGCACATCTGCTTACTTCCTCAGAGGTCATTGTGCCCATGGATGGGATCCACTGGCTGAGTGATTAGTAACTGATCACTGCTCTCTCTAGAGCAAGGCTGAACCTCTCCACTCAAGGCTCACAGCTCCAGTTCCACAGAGCATCAGAGAAGCACTGGTAATCTCTGAGCATCATGGTGCTCTGAATTTCTCATTAGAAAAGAGAGGCATTCCAATAGCCCTATATAAAAATTCTGACATTAGTTGTTGGTTACATCTGGAAATGGCATGAAGACAATGCTTACGTCCTTGGGAGGGTGTACATCTTGGGAGGGTGTACATTAAACAGAGTCCTCAGCTCCACAAGGACGAGCATGGGCTGCTGCGTAAGGGTAGCCTCGGAAGATGACAAAGTCTGGGGATGTTGTAACTCTCTTAGCTTGTACAAGTAGCGTCTATGTTGTTTGTATGACAAAGCAGACTTGTGACACATTTCTCTGACCATGTCCTTGTTGTGGAATATATGTCTGTCTTAAGATCTGAGGTCAGAATGTCTGGGTTAAAGTCTCAGGGAGACACCTTCCTGGATACAGGGCCTTGAACAATGACTTAACCCCTGGGCCTCAGTCTTCATCTATAAAGTAAGACTGTGGATAGCACCTGTGTCGTGGGCTTGGAAAGGATGACGTGCTGAGGGGCACTCGGAGGAGACCTGGTAGCAAGCCCACACTAAGTATCTGTAATGTCTCTTACAGTGGATTCTTTCTGCCTGTGCTCCCAATGACCCTGCCAGCCAGCCCTGGAAAAGGGGTTGAAAAAGAAACTAAGGATCCACATGGTAGAACACTGCTTAGCACTAAAAAGTCATGAGCTATCAAGCTACAAGAAAGTGTGGAAGTGTCTTAAAGACACACGACCGAGAGTATCTGCAGACCAAAGGCTGCAGGCTGTCTGACCTCTATAGAAAGACGTTCATGGCCACCCACAGTTAGAAAAGACGGAGAATGAACCTGTGAACAAAGAAAGACTTTTTCAGGTAGGAAACCAGGTGTGTGACACTGTAGGAGTAG